GACGGACGGACGAACGGACGGACGGACGGACAGACAGACAGAGACTCTCCTTTTTTGGGGGGAGGGGAGGGATTTTCCAAATACCAGATATATGTCAAAATGTCCCTAAAAGATATGGGCACTGTGGCATGGCCTTTTGGGCTGACATATTTGTGTTATGCCCCTGTTAGGCGGGTGTGCAAATCCGCTTGGCCTTTTGCAATTCGCAAAGTTGGGCAGAGTCCGGTAGGGGTACATTGCAAAGATGGGGTCGGGTGTGCAAATCCGCTTGGCCTTTTGCAATTCGCAAAGTTGGGCAGAGTCAGGTAGGGGTACATTGCAAAGATGGGGTCCAACTGATGGCTGGGGTGTTTCACAAAATGTTTTTGTCATTGCCCTTCGCCGCAGCGTAGCTGCGGCAGGTCCACTTGTTTCTATATAACGCAGGTATTTGACATTTGACATTTGACTTCTTGTTGTTTTTGTTTTTGTTTACCTGATAAACAGAGTATTTGGATCAGGAGTTTTTCAATGGCGGTATATTAACAACTGAAAGTGATGTTTATAGCTTCGGGATCGTCATCTTGGAAACAATATCTGGGCGAGGTCCTAGAGTGCCCAGGCCAGGACAAACAGCGGTCACGGATTCGATCCTGATTTGGGTAGGTGCTTCACATTTTATGTGTGTCTAAGTGTGCCTGCATCTTGTGTCCATGCGTGTGTGCATCAAGTGTGGAACCCACATACTTTGCTCCCCTTCAGTCTGTTGTGGTGACACACCCGAGCCGAAAGGTCCACAGGAGAGTCGAGGAGACTACCTTCTTAACCCAAAAAAAAACGTACGTACATTCTATTTGAATTACCTCTGGAAATCGGGTTTTCAGAAATCGCTTGTTTTTTCACGAATATAATGTACGTACATTGTATTTGAATACAAAGTACGTATGTTGTATTCAAATTTCTTCAATTTTGATTTTTCAAAAACAATCCAAAAAATCCGGAAAAAAAAATGTTATACAGAAATGCAATACAAACAACTTTTGCCTGAGGGTCTTGTCGAAATTCACAAGTAAATTCGAGAAAACAATAAAAACGAGGATGCAATTTTTTTTACTGATTTTTTCAGAATTTCGATTTAAACAAAAACTTCATTAAAAAATCCAAAAAAAAAAAGTATGTTTTACAAACTTGCACGGGTGTGAGTGTGAGCGCGAGTGGGTTGTGTGTGGTGTGTGGGAGAGTGTTGGCCATAGCCTCTGCTGCTACTCGATGAAGGGTGGGGGACGATGAGAAAGGGAGGCACAGCTACTGGCAGGTCTCGGTCTTTGTGTTAGCCAGACCCCCACTGGCGGCCCCAACCCTATACCCTAACCATTAGGGGCAAGGGGCAACATGAAATCTCCCCTTCACAGAGAGAGGATACTATGCTTGCAGGGGTCACCTCTAGATAGTCTTAGGAGTAGGTAGTGGAAGGTAAAGAAACAGAAGTTGAGAGAAGA